TGCTGGGAATTGAACTCAGGACCTCTGGAAGAGCAGTCAGTGCTCTTAACCTCTGAGCCATCTCACCAGCCCCCTAATTCTTGCTTCTTATAGCCATCTATTCCACACTGCAACTGATCTTTTTAATAACTAGAATTTCATTATGTGAAAAGAGGAATTTACAAATTTGAAGATCTTACTGGGCCTTATTTGCTCTTCTAGAAATTGGGAAGCCTTTTTCTATAAAACATGTTCTGATGAACTCAATGTAAATAGGTTCTATAGATGTAAGAGCTGAAGAAGGAAACAAGAAAAGGTTTGATACTTTCAAAGTTAATCTTTTAAAGAGGGGACAGGGAAACAGTAATAGACAATCACTTGGTTACTGTCATGTTCCTTCAGGTTTTTTGGGGGGCAAGGATGAAAGTGGAGGAACAACATTAATATGGTGTTTGAAACTGATCTGTTTAGTTAGAAAAGTTGGCTATTCTCTTTGATTTTTTTGTTTGTTTTTGTTTTAATCTTGGACAATAAGTAACTTTGAGATGAGTCATGTAGAACTTTGGTGTGGGAAACTTTGTTTTTATTTTAGTTTGGGATCTACTTCAGGAACTTAGTTCAAAACAGTGGTCTCCTATAATTGTGATTTAGCAGTTGCAAATGGAATCTTACAGTTTGGTCAGTGTAATTTACTTTCCCCCCATTTTGAGAAGGGTCTCTCTAGGGAGTCACTGCTGTTCTGGAACTTGCTATGTAGATCAGGCTGGCTTTGATTGCCGAGCTGAAAGGCATGCACCACCATGCCCAGCCAATTGTAATTTAAAGGAGATAAAGCATAAAGTTGTAATTTTGGTTAGAAACTACAGATCTAATTTCTTCCTTTTTTTCCTTTCTTTCTTTCTTTTTTTTTATATGACAGGGACTTGCCATGAGGTGTTGAAGCCTTGTTTCACTGAGTTGGAGAGACTGGACCTAAATGGCGCAGCATGACTTTGCTCCAGCCTGGCTTAATTTTCCTACTCCGCCATCATCAACAAAGGTACTTTTCCACTCTGAATCTCTGTGCCATTCTGTCTGCCTTGATTTTATTCATGATGTACACAGATTTAACCAAAGTGTGAAGACTTGGGCTGTGGTTGAGTGTGGCTCCTTGGTAGAGGACTTCCTTAACCTTCCCAACCAAGTCCCTGGGTTGAAGACACAGTGTAAGGAGAAAAGTGAAGACAGTTTCCGTGTTGTCTTTGTTCAGGATGGTTTTTGCATTGTTGAGAGGCCATACATTTTAAGTCAGATGTTTGAACTTCTCATCTTACTTTTTAAAAATCATTTTTGTTACTTTACTGCTAAGTAGTAATGATACCTTAGCATACATGAGATACTTAGTTTGTAGAGTACTTGGCCAAATATTTAATTTGATCATAATTTCATGGATGTTGTATCTTTTAGATTTATTCCTACTTCCTGTTCCACGAATTTCAATTATTGACCTCTTGTTTTTGACAGAGGGAAAGTGAAAGGATTGTATTCCATAGTAAAGGACATGGACACTGGTTATTCTGTAAAGCTGTCTTTGATATCACAACTCTCTGCTGGGTTCCATTAATTGCTGGTTGGTTGCTGTGTTGTTTTCAACAATGGCCTGGGGCACAAATTGCTCCTTGTTCTGACTCAATTTAATTAGATAAAAGGTGGTTTTTGAGGTCAGTCTTTGAGGTTTTTCTGACCTCCAAAAAGAAGTCTCTTGTTTCCCTGTTCTCTCTGTGCTAGCTGCCTTATTGGTTTAGCTTAGTGCTATTTGTTGAGAGTAGCCACCACCCTCTGTGTCTCCTTCCCACACCTCCCACTAAAAATCTCCATTGGCTGGGCATGGTGGTGCATGCCTTTCTTTAATACCAGCACTTGGGAGGCAGAGGCAGGTGGATCTGTGAGTTCGAGGCCAGCCTGGGCTACAGAACGAGTTCCAGGACAGCTAGGACTGTTACACAGAGAAACCCTGTCTCGAAGGAAAACAAAACAAAAACAACAACAAAAAAAACCTCCATTATTTCTGATGGATGATCCTTTAATTTTAAACTTTATCATGCTGTGTTTTGAAGACTTCCTTGAGCACTGCTTCTTACCATTGTAAAAATCTATTAAGTAGCAAAATTTGGGCCTCAATATTCTTGGCCTGAAAAACCTGAAATAGATCATTCAGTTGTGAATGGGGAGGGGCAGAGAAAAAGAACCCTGGTTTCATAATTATCACTTGGAATATAACCTCTTCAGTTGCAGTTGGACAGAATCGTTGTTTGCAGTTGCAGAGGGATGGCTAACAGAACTCAGGGAAATACTTGCTTTGCTAGCCTTAAAGGATATAGATGGCTAGTGTGTATTACTGGAAAGGCCTTTCAGAACTTTCCCAGGCTGTCTTATGGGCTATCTTAATTACATTAGCATAAACTCTGGAGTTATTAAAGGAGCTTATTATGAGTAAGTAATCCCACCACTTAGGGATTTCCACAGCTTTTTAGGAGGTCTGTGACCAGGTACAGGGACAGAGACCAGATATACTTCATGTAGTAAATATACTCATAGTGGAGATGAAATTTTATTATTATTAAATTATTAAATTATTAATTTGTTTTCTGCTGTCCTTGATATTTAAAGTTATTTTAACAACTAACTTATTCTAAGATTCCCTCTTTTAAGTCTCACTAAGAAAGAAAGAATAAAATAAACAATTTCAAATTAATCTTAAGTATTCTAGCTTATAGAGATGATAACCAGAAACAACCCATCTGACTTAATAGCTATGTTCTACTTTGTTTCTTCTGCAGTGTAGAGAAATCCAATGAGTCTTGATCATCTGAGCCTTTACCGTCGTGAGGTAGCCATCTAGTACTTTTAGGTGTACAGGTAGTTTTTATAAAAGTTTATTAAACATAGCTCTCATGAGTATGATTTTAGTTTGGAAATTTGTTCCTTTAAAATGGGTTGAGTCTACTTCCCTAGGCAATAGAATTTAGTTTGAAGGTGAATCTTAGTGGTCATTGAAGCTTACTGTCTTGTGTAGGTTTTTTGGGAAGGTTAACTTGCTCACTTATTTTTATATAGTTAATTCATGTGAAACCAGACTTTATTCTATGTTCTATGTTCTTGGCATACAATTCCTTTTGGAATTAGAGAAAATGATTAAAAATTCCATTTTGTAGATTGTAAGACTATAACAAAAAGACTTGAAATTGTTAGGAAAGGAGACTATCACTAGATCTGTGAAGATTTATTTATTTTTAAAATTTTAATTTCTTTCTTTTTCTTTTTCTTTTGAGACAGGGTTTATTTGTGTAGTTTTGGCTTCCCTAGAACTGGCTCTGTAGACCATACTGGCCTTGAATTTACAGAAATCCATCTGCCTGCCTATCTCTTGAGTGCTGGGATTAAAGTTGTGGGCCACCACCAACTGGCAAAGTTTTCATTTATTTTATGTGTGTGTGCACATGCACACACACATTTATGTTCATTGGTGTTTTGCATGCATGTATATCTGTATGAAGGTGTCAGAAACCCTGAACTGGAGTTACCAGGTGTGAACTGCCATGGGGTACTGGAAATTGAACCTAGGTTCTCTAGAAGAGGAGCCAATGCTCTTAACTGTTGATTTATCTCCATCTCTCCAGCCCCCCCAATTTTCTTTCTTTTTTTTCCTTCTGGCAAATTTTCATTTCTTAAGCCAAGGTCTCATGTATTTTTTTATACTCCTGTTTACTTTCCAAGTGCTGGGATTACAGGTGTGTTCTGTCACATTCAACCCAGATGAATTTGTGTTACTGTTTTCCTTCTTGTTTCCCATGCATAGTTACTACAGTCTGTGCCAGCTCTTCTCAGACCCCTAGTTGCTCTACCCTGTCTAGTTTATAGGCAGCCTCTCCCATGCCCAAAGACCAACTTTGGAGTCTATATGCATTTCTATTTCCTTTCATCATTTTGTGTAAAGGAACATAAGGCTTATTTTGTTTGTAAAAGAGTCTTATGACTACCAAAAGAGTATTTGGAAAGTGAAACTGCCCTAACAAAAGTTTCTAAGTTTATCATTATTTAAGCATTAATAACCCAGGGTAAGGGCTGAGGACTGTTAAAGTACAGTAAACTTAGTGCTTTTCTAGATTCAGTATATATATAGACCATCATGATGATAGATAGATTCTGATTCTGTTTGAGTTGAGTGTAAGTTACTCTCCATCCCAAGCTAGGCCTAACCTGTCAGGCAAACACTAAACACTGATACTGAGCTGGCGCTTTTTACTATTTATTTATTTGTTTATTTTTTTTTTAAAGATAGATAGGGTCTTATGTAGTCCAGATTGACCTTTGAATCTCTGTGTGGTGGAATATGACCTTTGAACTTTTGAACCTGATTCTTCCAACTCTAAAGTTCTGGGATTACAGGTGTGTGACACTGCACCTTGCTTTTTATTTGGGACAGAACCTCACCAAGTTGCCCAGGCTAGCTTCAAACATTCCCTGTAGTTCAACCAGCTCTCTAGTAGCTGAGCTTACAGGCTCTTGACACGCAAGTTAGCTCCATATTTTCTAACCAAACATGTTACTTCTTGAGTAGTCATCAATTTGAGTAATCATCAGTCTAAATTCTTAAGATTTGAGTTTTTTATTTTTATTTTTTTTGGTCTTCCCCTAAAGCAGTGGTTCTCAGCCTTCCTAAAGAAGGACCCTTTAATACAGTTCCTCATGTCGTGGTAACTCCCAGCCATAAAATTATTTTCATTGCTACTTCATAACTGTAATTGTGTTCCTGTTATGAATTGCATTGTAAATATTTTTTGGAGATAGAGGTTTGACAAAGGGGTTGAGATCCATAGGTTGAGAACCAGTGCCCTAAAGAGACAGCTACAAGCTTATGCTTTTTGTGATGTGAGATATAGACATATATATATATATACACACATATATACATATACACATACACATACACACACATAAAATAGTACAGTAATTTATTATTAATATTATTATTTTTGGAGACAGGATCTCTGTAGCTCTGGCTGTTTTGAGACTCACTGTGTAATCCAGGCTGGCCTTGGCGTCGAACTCACAGAGATCTGCCTGCCTCTATCTGTGCCCGCCATTCCTGCCTATAGTGAGTTCTTTCTTTTCTTTTTCTTTTTTTAAAATTATAACCTCTCAGCTTATTTTTTCATCTTAAAAATCATGTCTTAGATTTCTGTTTGTAACTGCTTGTTCTCTGCTGGGACTTGTGTATCATGTATGTCTCTGCTTTTTTTTTTTGGTTTTTTTCGAGACAGGGTTTCTCTGTGTAGCTTTGCGCCTTTCCTGGAGCTCACTTGGTAGCCCAGGCTGGCCTCGAACTCACAAAGATCCGCCTGCCTCTGCCTCCCAAGCGCCATCACGCCCGGCATGTCTCTGCTTTTAATGTTGTCTTAAGTAAATGGAACAAACATGACTTACCATGGTGTTCTTTTTTTTTAGTTTTTTTAAGAAGGGATTTCTCTGTAACAGTCCTGGCTGTCCTGGAACTCTCTTTGTAGACCAGGCTGTCCTTGAACTCACTGAGAGCCGCCTGCCTCTGCCTCCCAAGTGCTGGGATTAAAGGCCTGGCTTACCATTCTTTCCTTCAGTATAATGATAGTTCTCAGTTTTAGTTCAGAATGATGTACAGTTAGATGAATTAAGGATGATAATGTTATAACTGTCCTTACATGCCTTTCTGAGACATGTAGTGTTTTAGCCCCATCATGTGGTCAGAATACAAACTACATGCATCTGGTTATGCCTGTGCCTTAGGACAGTTGACACAGCATTTTTGCATGTGTGTAGATCTAATGAAATAAGTTTCATTTGTGTTTGTGCACCAGTGCATAACTTTTGTGGTTCTTTAAACCAATGCTTTAAATTTTTTTTTCTGAATTAATCCATTAAAAGTTATTTTATATGTGTATTTAGTCTTCATGTAAGTTTGTGTACCATGTGCATGCATGGTGTCCACAGAGTCAAGAAGAGGGTGTCTAATCCCCTGTAACT